TGCATATATTAACAACGCAAATATGCAAATATGCACATTTTGTATGTATACTTTTTTTTTGAAATTTATTTAAACAAAAGTTCTTATATGTGCACATTTTAGAGGTGCATACTTTTTTTTTAAATAAATCTACAATAAGAAAGTTTTTTGGGTTCTCACGGATATATGGGTTCTCAAAAGATTATATATATATATATATATATATATATATATATATATATATATATATGTGTGTGTGTGTGTGTAGATAGATATACACACATACATACATTCATATACAACAACAAAATCATAATGAGAAAAGATACATACCAATAAATAAACAAGGAGGCCAATAACAATCGTATAAAAGCGGCCCGCAAAAGAATCAGCAATTAAAGCACCGATAAGGGGCATGAAACTCGACGTCCCTCCAAAATTTGTTAATATGTTAGATGCCTTAACCATTGGAAGGTTCAACTGTTGGGTCAAGTATGTTATTAAGTTGGCATGGAATCCCGTTCCCGCAAATCTGTCACATACTTCATTAGCTGCCAATTTGAAACCAAAACACATTAATTATGAAGTTTATATGGTTGTTAGCTCGTCTCTACATGATATAAATTATTACATAAAAAAATACTATATAAAATTGTAGCTTTACTTTATTTCCCTGATGTTGTTTATGAAATATGTTAGACTTTAGAGGGAACATAATATATCTATATCTACTAATACTTGATTATAAGGAGAAATGTGTTGAGAATCTTTATAGAAACATTTTTTTTGTTACATGTGGAAATACATTATTTATTTTATAGAAGTATCCTTAATATGAGATAAGGGACTCCAAAAAATATAAAGACAACTTGGACCATATCAAACTGGTTATACTAACACCCCCATCCTAAGAGATGGGGGTTCGATGAAGATATGCAAAGAAGCGTTAAGCCATAGAGGATCGAGCTAGAAGCAGACTTAGATACCATCACTAATACATGTAAAGTACATGATTTAATCTCCAAAAGAGTCGAGTAGAGAGTAAGAATCCAACGTATATATAGAAGAAAATAACCATGTTTAGGTGATGTTGGAGACCAACACTTCACAATATATGGAGACTCAATAACGAAAAACAATGATGTGCTAAGTCACTAAGGAGGTTGACATTGACACTAATAACATTTTGAATATGTGCAACCTAAATATTTTTTCTCCAAAAGAGTTCTTGATGACCCGGCAACTTCAAAAGAGTCTATATATATATATATATATATATATATATATACATACGCACACATAAATGAGAGCATCTCTAATCGATGTAGGCATAAACACTCACCTAGAGGCGATGACTCAATAATTGTAGACAATAATGTGTTAAGTTGTGGATGAAGCTTTACATCTTCTTTGATACCATGTGGAATACATTATTTATTACTCAAAAGAATCATTGAGAAGAGAGTGATAACTCCAACATATGCAAAGACAAAAGGACCACATCTAAGTAATATTGGACACTATTAATTTTATCCGAAAATGTATATCTTTCATACATAAAAAGTAAAACTGCAAAAATGGTCTATGAGGTTGTTATTTTTTTGTGGATTCGGTACAAAAAGTTTGCACTTTGCACCAGATGTCTTTGAAAATAGTTCAAATGACTAGTATGTCATTTTAATTTATTTTTGAGAAAACTTCATAAATGGTCCCTATGCCTTTTAGAAATCTAGAATATAGTCTTTTGGTTCAAAAAACCTCATAGATTATCCCCGTGGTTTCAAAACTTTTAACAAACAACCCTTTTTAGCTAGTTTCGTTGTAGATCTAGTCCATTTCAAAAATTAAAATGATATTTTTACCCTTTACATATTTATTTTTTTATTTTTCATTATTTACTTTTTAATATTTTATTATTATAAAATACATGGCCCATAAATCTTTCTCTCTCTCTCTCTCTCTCTCTCGTCACTAGAAAGAACCCACCACACTAAATTCCTTCCCTCATCAAATTGCTGCTCATCATCTTCATTAGCAACCTAGGGCTTCTTCCAGTTCCATTTATTTTTTCCCTAATTTCACCAACCTAGGGGATTGCAATGCAATGCTCCGTGCAAGTGTCGGTGTCGGCGATGATAAAAGACGCCTGCGAATTGGGAAGGGAAGAAAGTGAGGAAAAAGAAACTGAAATCAGGTAGTCAACAAATGTTGCTTCAATGGACTGTGTTGTATCGAGAAGGGTAGTATCCGGCAGAAGGAAAGTCAATGGTGAAAAGATTAATCTATGAGAGGTATGATTGTTCATTATATGTTCTTGTTAGTTTTAGTTTCATGAACCCTATTTCAGTTTTATTGTTTTACAGACGATTTTGATAAGTTATTGATTGTGGTGGTAGCGAGTTGGAAGGAGTGTGTGTATGTTGAAGAACAAACCCAAAATCTTGATTTTGTATATGTATGTGTATTGTACCAATATGAAGCATTCAAAGATAGAATCAGAGATGGATCTCTCTCTAAAACAACCTTCAAAATCTCCATGTTCATCTTGTGCTTTACAACTAAGACTTTGCCCTATGGTTTTAAAGTAATATGAAGTTTTGATGGTTTACGCAGAAGACCGGCGAAATAGCACCCTCATGGCTTGTCTTTTAAGAACAATTGGACATGCCTGAAGAGCAATTGGCACCATTGTTGGACCTTTGTTCCTGAAATTTGATTTTAATTTTTGATGAGGAATCTATCAACCTGGTAGGTTCATCCTAGGGACATGATTTTGAAGTTTGGGTTAATCTAAGGGCATCTCCAACCCACCCCAAACTCCATTTCTTCCCCCATTTCTTCCTCCATTCTTCTCCAACCCTACCCCATTTTTACCTCCATTTTTGGAGATATGAATAGTATTCCCCCATATATGGGGGAATACTATTCATATCTCCAAAAA